CTATTGCTCTGGCATCTAATTTTACCGCTGAGTGACACATATAGCTGGATGTCTCCAAATATTATAGCATGTTTCCATTTAACAATGTTAAAAAAAAAAGGGAAATGTTTCATATTGGTTGAGTTCCATGTAAGACTGACTCCTGCTTTGGAGGACAGGCCTGGCTGGATGGCACCACTCTTCACTGGGAGAGCATCAATGCTTAGGTCTATGAAGGCCACATAATCCCACCATACCTGAGATGGTCCTCTGCACCAGGAATGATCTGCAAAGTAAAGGGAAGGCTCAAGCCACCCAAAAGACAGTTTTCTGAAGGTCTGGTGACCAAATATCTAAAGAGGAAAGTAAAACATGGAGGGGTCAGCCCAGGCTTGGGCTGAAACATTTTGCTTTGAACTCATCAAAGGAGAACTGAAAAATACGGGCAAAATCAAAATGTATTACAGAATATGTTGCTTGTAATTAAAAAAAAAATAGTATCAGTGGAAAACTCCAAGTTTTCCCAGGATGGTTTGTATCTGATGGAGGCAAATCCATCAAGCAGTGAGCAAGCTGACCACGAGGCACATGGAGGTGCCAGTGCCAAGCCCAACAGCAGGCACGTGTGTTTCCTCCCAAAAGAATGAGGACTGAGACAAAGCTTTTGGTACCTGCCTCTGAGCAGAGCACAGGCCAGGCAGTTGGTCATTTATAACTGCAAACTCAAGTTTGTCTGGCAGCAGCATCAGGCAGATCTGTATACCAGAAATGGAGTCATCACAGCTCAGGAATACATCCCCTTTCATTTTCTGCTGGGTGATTCATGTCATTTTTAACCCAGTCAAAGAAACTCTTTTCATCTAAGCAAGCCCAAAAAAAGGCAGTGTAGATCATCTAAGTGCTTATGAATTTCTGTGAAGGTAGTGTCCTACATTCATGCCTGGTAGATGTGGTCCCAAACACTGACAGCACCTGAGCTACCACACAGAAATAGCATGGAAACAGGCATGAGGCCAGTTGAGGCTGGTTGGAAAGCAAAAGACTTGATTTTAGGGAAATGGGGTGTAGTAGCTGCTTTTGTTCTGGACTGCCACGTCGACACAATAAACCTTTTATGCTTCTCCTCTCTCTTTCTCTCCGTCTGTTTTGGACTCTATCACTTGTCCCAGAAAGTTTCATTAAAACCGTATTATTCAAAAAGAGTTGTTTTATCATCATCCCTTGACAAAAATCATAGTTTGGTGAAATATATTAATTGGCAAGTTCTTTCCCTTTGCTTATAATTTCTGCTCAGGTTGGTTGCTGAGCCGTGGTCAGGGCTGACCAGAGGGGACCTGGCTGCAGGAAACAGTGGATTTACAACCTTAACTGTTGCTCTACTAACAATAAGCATATGCTGGATGATTTATTGCATAATTGTGCGTTGGGTGGTAGCCATGGGAAGAATTTTGTCCAAAACAAAAGGAAAAGGTGATTGCTCAGTGATGGGCTGAGGATCAGCCCTTGAATGTCCTTGCAACCTTCCAAGAAGTGGTAGCATTCATGACCAACACTGTTTGCAGGGCAGTGAAGGTGTGCAAGCAGTGTTAGTGCAGGTGCTTCTCTTTATAAGAGTCACATTATACCACTGAAATCCCAAGCACTGATGCTTGGGACTCTTCTGGGCTAAATTCAGCTTCCCATTACATCTGAAAGTTTATGCCTGTTCTGTCACAAACCACCACGTCTTCCTAATCATGCTCTTCCAATGAAGCTGCTTGTAGTGGAATTTTTCCTGTTCCCATGCAAGCTGCAGGCAGCATCAAATACATTTGAGGGTTCAGTCACTCCTTGGTAAAGTAGGTGCTCTGTGGTGGGGACCAGCATGGTCACAGACATATTTTAGCCTGCCTTTCAGCACTGTGAGATTCATTAAACTATTGAACAAGGAAGTTTTACGCCTCTGATGTATAATGAGATAATTTGTGGAGAGATCTAAAAAGCCTCAAAGTATAAAACCAGTCATTATTGGATTATCCAACCTATGATCATTTTGAATGAATATTTCCATAAAGGATGCATGAAGTAAGGCTTAGGGTTCAGTCTGCTCTCCATACTGGCAAATAGAAAAGAAGAAGTTAAAGATGGAAAACGTGACTTCAATATTCATGGTGATGATGAGGGATGAACCCAGAGCACCCTTTGCCCTCAACAGACATCTCCATTATGAATCATGAGGAAGACATTTCTTTAGCAGTTTAGCAGGAGGAGGCACACACCCAGCTGCTGATGACTGAACGTGCACAGCCAGGGGTGTTCATGTTTCACTTCCAGAATGAGAATTTCCTTTTCCACCCAGGAGATGGCACTACGGCACTCACACAAAAAGCATCACTTTAGCCCTACCAAAAACCTGTTTTCCCTAAGGTTGTATTTCGGGGAGAAAACCTGGAAACTTTGCATTCACTGGGTTGTGATGGCACCAGCTGAGTGTCCTAAGAGGAAACATGTTTCTGACTCTCTGTGGATGCTTTCACTTGAAGTCCTTCTCATGGCTCCAGTGAGTTTCCCACCAGAGAAATGGTGGATCACAGCAGCCTCCATCCAGGAATGTTCCTCTGCTTTGGACACAGGGCAGCACCAAATGCTTTGAAGAAATATGCCTCAGGTCAACCATAGCAATAACAAGGCAACAAGGTCCTGGAAAGCATCTCCTAATCTCCACCAGCCACATTCTGACTCATGCCCAACTTGTTTCTCTCTGTTGTTTTGGGGTTTTCCTCTTGGACTTTGCTACTAGTGTAAAACCTGCTGCGTTCCTTTTTGAATCCTGTTGATGTCATGGCTGGCGTCATCTGGTGCTGTGAGCCCAGGTTGTGCAGAAAAAGGACTGAAAACTAATGGTGTTGAGGTAATGCCAGTATTAGCTAGAGCTTCTCACCTCTTTTTGACCCCAGTGCTCTTCGATGCTAACCCTGTGTCACTCACGTGAAGAGAATCCATCACGAAGCACCAGGGAAATAGAGAGGCTGATTTTCTGTCACCTGGATATATTTGCATGCAGTCTGAATGTCCCCTGTTACAACACAGAAGTGACTCCCTGGGGCAGTGTGAGAGCCCTTTTCTGTGTTTGAACTGCCATGGGACCATCACCATTTCCATTAGCAGGGAGTTGGGAGGGGCAAAAAAAGCACTAACAGCAATCACTGCCATGGTAGACATGTTGGGATGGGGCAATGAGGACTGAAGAAACAAATGTTTGGAAGAAAATAAATGTAATTCTGGGAAAAGAAATGGCAGGAGACAAGGATAGAACAGGCTGGATCCTGGGCAGGGACTGAAATGTGTGAGAGCAGGTTTCCAAAGCCACGTCTCTAAGCCTGGCCTCCAAAAGTGGGAAGAGCCTAAGCAAGCATTGCTGCCAGAAAACCCAGGAAGGACATTTATCTTCAATATCAGCAGCTTCCTTCCTTCTCCCTGGCACACAGTTAAGGACCACTTTAGCAAACCCAGCATCCATCTGCCGGATTGATTATCCTCATTAGTGCTCCTGACGGGGTGTAGCACAACCGTATATTCTGATTCAGACATTTGTTTCCACCGTGGTTGCCCATTTTGATTAGCATTTAGCAACATGATTCCTTAGTGGTTTTACCTCGTATATGTGCTCTGAGCTTTCGTCTAAACACAGCCCCAGCCAGCGTAACAAAACGATACAGGGGAGCAGTGTGGAAATCAGCTGGAGGAGCCTGTCTGCACCACCGGGATGTGGGATAAAGATGCTTTTTCGTGAGAGAAAACTATCAGTAAGGCCATGGGATTAATTCTAAGTGGTGCAAAAGTACGTCTTCCCATTGAGAACATCTCTAGTCTCATGGTCTCGTTCCCCAAAAAAGTCAAACTGTTTCCTCAGGGGTCTCTGATGTAAGCAAGGATTTTCCCCTATATTTTAAGTTAAAGGTAGCTTCATTGTTTTAGCCCTCCAAAATTGGCACTAGTCCACTATACTTAACTCCAGTGGAAATACTCTGTGTCACCCTCAGGATCCATGAGCTGTGGATCAGCAATGTCCCAGACCAGAGCAGCTTTGCAGAAATACTGGACCCTTCTACTTCCCTGTAGCATCTGGTTGGAGCTTGGCCTTGCCAGACGTCATTTTGCTAAATCCCCCAGTGCTTCTCTTCCCATGGGGAAACACAGCCATGCATGTGACTTTCCTAAGGTTCTACAGCAAGTGAATTGGTAAAATTTGCCATGGGTAAGTGGTGATGGGCTGAAATACCTGCGGAGTGTAAGGAAGCAGGAGAGGTGATTCCCTTAGATGATAAAGTCCTTGAGGCAGGGACCAGAGTGCTGCTGTGTCTGCATAGTCCCTATCACCAGCAGATCTAGGGATGCTTGATAATACTGTAAAATAAAGTATTTGCTGTCTTTAATACTGATATTTTAGCTCATGCTTGTCCCTCAATACTGCGAGGATGTCCATTAAAAGGAATGCCTTTCAGGAGTCAGGGAGAGGTTTCTCTACACCATCTACTCCAGGACAATTCTGGCATCAATTTAGAAGACCCAAAGTCAGGTCGCTAAAGCCACAGCAAAAGGGCTGTCAGCCCTTCTCGGGTCTGGGATCGGCGGCTCTCCATTGCCATCTTGAGGCTGGGAGCCGCCTTGCTCCTTTCAGAAATCCTAGAAATCTCCAAAATTGACATGGCAAACTCAATTCCAGCTTGCCGAGCATTAGCTGAAATTGATGGCCAAACCCTGCAAAAAGGTGTTAAATACAAACGAGGGGAAGGAGTTCTGCAAGGCTGGCACTCAACCGCCCTGGATAACATGGATATTTTCCACCCCCTGATTGCACAAAGATTTAGAGAGTAAATTACCACAAGCAATGCTGTTTAACGCACAATACTTCCTGCTGAGTGACAAAGTTTACCATCAAGTTTTCTTTAAAGTACATAAACTGAAACTGCCTAAGTGGACTTGGCTCTGTAGCCCACACTGTTCCCCCAAAAAAGTCTTTTTCTGACAATGATAAAAGCTGAGGTTCTTGGGAGATTTTAATGATAATTTGCACTTAAAGAGGTCTTTGCCATACGTTTCACATCTGATAGACATGGTTTGGAAGAGAGGAGGTTTCCAGGCTTTCAGGGTCTTGGATGAGCAATATTACAGGCAGCTTGGAGGGCCAAGGAGCTGTAATCACAGAACAACACAGGTAACACACACTAAAAAAAACCAGAAAACCATGGAATAATGTAGGTGTCATGGTCCACCAGGGCCAGCTTAGATGAGGCTGCTCAGACCCAGTCTTATCACCCAGTGAACATCTTCATGCCATTCCCCTCCCTCTTCTGTACCCAGACAGTGTTTCACCACCCTCGTGGTGAAAAATATTCTCCCACTAATTAGATCTGATTGGATAACCACTTTCTAGGAGCCCAGAAAACTGTAGAATCATAGAATGGTTTGGGTTGGAACAGGCCTTTGAAGGTCATCTAGTCCAGCCCTCCTGCAATGAGCAGGATCAAATGCTGCTACTCAGAAGAACATTCCAGCAGCGAAGCTCTTACCATTTTATCTCAGGTCTCACAGTATTTTGTGCCAGGTCTTACGACTGAATATACTTTTTCCCACTGCCTCAGTCTCTGAAATCCCAAGTCTCAGGGCCAAAACGGGCAATCCTGGTATTTACCATGGCCACCTTAGCACCACTCAGGGCATCGTGGTGTGCATCGCGGTCTCCATCGCATATCCTTCCCAGACAGCATCCATGGACAAGGGATTGGAGTGGACCAGTCCAGCTTCTTCAAGAAAACACTGTAGTTGTCTGCATACTCAGATACCCAGCGGCCCCTGCAGAAAACACGGAGAAGGGGAGAAGCTCCATTCTCTGCTTCCTGCACCAGGACAAGGAACCTGCCTCCCCTTCTGCAGCATTTGACCTCCCAGCCAGGAGACTGTGAAGAGCAAACAAAACCATATCCAGCTGGTGTTGGGAAGAGAGGGAACAGCCTGTCTCCATCAGGAATGGCGCAGATGCTGCGACACACACGGCTGTCACTGGGATCAGTCTCCCACCTGGATCAACCATTACACAGGCTCAGTCTCCAGCCCACATATAACTCCAGGATCACAGATCAAAATCTTCAATGCAGAGCTGAAATATATGTGTGTTAGGGGAAGGTGGGGGGCATGAGGCAGCAGGGAGGAATTGCCTTTCAGTGAGAAATGAGAACTCAGGAGCCGTTTATGCCTGTTTGGTTCATAGTGTGTAGATGAGTCACGTTTCAAACAGCCCTGTTTGATTTGAGAGAGCCCTTTCCCAGGGGAAGCCTGGGCATGGAAATGACGAGACATGCTTCCTGCCCCAGCTCCACAGAGACCTCAGCACCTTCTTTCCACAGGGATGAGGCTGTCCCAGCAGTTGTCTCCCCACCCTTATCAACCCAATTGCAAAACTTTTCAAGAAAAGGCTAAGCATGTTTTGAGAACGGATTTGTTCCTGAGGGAATTCCTTTGGGCTGATTTCATGACATGAACAGGGAGAAATACACTTGAGAAACACCGCCCAATTCCGACCAGCTCCAAAACCTCCCTGCCCTACTCTTACCCTGCCTCCAACTCCCACCATCCACCCTCTCCTCCCCGGCCCACTTCTCCCTTACTGGTTGAGGCGGCTGTCTGCAGGGAAAACGGGAGAAGGCCTCGTCTGCTCTGTGTATAATCCACCATGGACTCCTGTCCGGCGTGGGAAATCCAGCTGGTAGGTACTTCTCCAGTCAGGTACAGAGCAGTCTAGTGAAAGAGAGTCCAAATAATTTAAAGACTTGTTTTGGGGGGTCTCTGTCTCCTGTATCACGCAGTCTGAGTGTTCCCCCTTCTGAGCTCCATCGGCTGTTTGTGCTTCCAGTGTTCCTGCTGGAGCTACCACAATGAAGGGATTAGCCAAGGGAAAATGCAAAAATTGCTTCCCTAGTATAGATAAGGTCTTTTAGATGAGATTATCCAGCCCTTATTTTCCATAGCCCTTTATGTGTGAGGGAAGCCACACAAAGCAGACCTGGAAACGATATCTTGTGCTCTTCCCATCTGGACATTGACTTGTCACCTGGTATATATTTTCCCCACCTGCCTAGATTTCCTTTTCCATCATGCCATTAAGCAGGAACTAAACAAGGGAAGAGATTCATGGCCCACTTAACCCCTAAGTGAGGACCATCACATCTGTTATGCTATCATCTTCCCCAAAAATCCCTGTGGGAGTGGTTTGAAGGGGTGCCATCTCCTATCCAACCCTTCCAGAGATGTCTCATCTGTATGTTAACAGCTTGATGTGTGTCCTGATCGAGCATATCTGCCTGTGGATAAACATCTCACAACGTCTCACTCACAACAAAGCAGGGTTGCCCATTGCAGACGTTTCAGATTTTCTGTGTATTTTAAAAATGACGCATTTCTATAATGAGTCATTAGTAATTTTGTTGTTTTCACTGAGGCTGAGGTTACAGGCATCTCACACGTGCATGACCATGTCAGGCTGTTAATGCAGCCCGGGTGGTTGCAGCAGCAGTTCCTGTGCTGGGACATTATTTCCAGGGAGACCACATTGAGCAGGGCTGTGCTCCATGGGGTGGCCCATATGGAAACTGGGATGAAAGAAAAATCATTTACAACACTCCAGCCTCTTCTAGAAGATAAATGTTTTTCTCTGCCTTGCTTCTCCCCAAGTGATGAGCAGGTGGTTATGGGGGCTCTGTGGACCCTTCCTGTGCCAATCACCTTCCCTTCACCTTCCTCAGTCTCGCATTAAATTAAGAAACCCAAAACCAGGTTGAAGGCCACCAGTCATTCACAGGGGGCAGCTGCCAGAACCTCCATCCACTGACCTTCCATCACAACAGATGAGCCCAGCATCTTGTTTTTGTATTGATCAGCATTGTCCAGCCTTTCCCGGTACAAATCCCGGGTGAATTGCACGTAGGAGACCAAGCCTGGGGACACTTTCTCCCTGTGCAGCATCGTCCCTGAGACATTGGAGGAGAAGAGGGTGCATTAGTCAGGAATCACAATCAATCACTCACCCAAATCCTACCCTTGGGTGGGAGCAAGTGAACAACCAGAGCAAGCTGGAGTCTCAGCTGGCATAAATCGGGGGAGACCCAGTCAGCTCAGCAGAGTTTTGCTGAGGTGCATCAATTTTGCATTGATCTGGTTCATGACACAAGTAGGGGAAGGACTTATGTTGATGCAAAGCAAGTGGAAGGAGCTATGATGTCTCCACATTGCCTGGGAGGGCAAGAGATCTGTGTATGAAAGGGAAAGGTTTGTAGGAAGTCCTGCACTGCTGGGATACACAGGGGCAGAGCAGGAAGGGAAAAGCCCTCAGCAGTTTTGTCATTAGCACAAGACAGCTTCAGATGGGCTTGGCAAGGAGATGCTCAAAGCCCTCAGATGTTAAGTGAAGCCTAAATGGACTGTCCAAATGGACAATTGACTGTCCATGTGGAGACATATCCATAGGAGCTGCTTGTCCAGAATCTCCTTCTAGTGAGTGGAGGGACAGAAAGCTTGCTGGGGCTTACTTCAACTCATCTTCAGGGTGGCATTTAAGCTACAGGAGATGGCTGTGTCTTTGCTCCCCACTGATCATGAAAGGATCTAGACACAGACATCCCACTCTGGGAGAGGTCAGCTCAGGGAACAGAGAAGACATCCCTGGCCATGTCTTCTGTTTGCTTCTGAAGCATTGCTGAGCAATGCTGCCCTCTTCCCTCTCAAGCAGGAGCTTTCCTGTCTTCCCATCAGCATTTTAATCCTTGCAAGCAAGCTGTTAAATGGCGTGGCTGAGGGCTGGCTACCAGCCCCTCTGCTGCATTTGCTGTCAGACAGATACCCCTAACAGAAGGGGCTTGAACCACTCAAATCCCCCATGCTCAACCCCAGAGTCCTTTTGCCTCCCTGCATTTCTGTTCATGGCCTGCAACATGGGATTAACTGCATCTCCCTCTCTCTCAACAGACCTGTGAAGATAAAACCCTTAAGAGACTCTGCCTCGCTAGCAGGGGCTCTTCATGCACTGAGATGTTTCCAAGACCCCAGCTCACTGCATCTGTGCTTTGAGCTGGCCTGGGAGATGCATTTGTGGTGACAGGGTGCTGTGCCCATGCTGCTAATCCTCGCCAGGCTCAGCCCAGCACCGACACACCATCGGGATGCTGCCATCCATGTGTGTGCAGCCAGCACGGACCACGGGCTGGTGGGGATGGCAGAGGCCCAGGTAGACAGACCCTCAGGTGGCTGGATGTGGTCAGTCAGCTGTCTGAGAGCAGCTGGTCCAGCACTGGGGGTTACCTTCTGTTCCGGCTGCTGGAGCAGGAGGTGGGAGATCCCGGCAACAACAGAGCAGCCCTTCCTGCGGCTCAGAGAGGATCTCCAGTTTCCCTGACCGGCCTGGTGTCGCTTGGATGGGAGGCTCGGACTTGGGTAGGTAGCACCTTGGTACGTAGCCATCTGAAGTAGGATGGTATGAAGTTATCTGCAGGAAAAAAAGCCCCATGTGAACAGAGAGGCAGCGACTGGGAAGGGCAGCTGCTAAGGCACCATCACTACCTCTGCACCACTCACTACCTGTGCACAGCAAAGCCTGGGCTTTGGTGGGGTCAGTATCCCTGAGGATACAACAGCCACAGGGCAGATCCATAACTGTCATTGAAAGTGCAGGGACAGCTTTCCCTCTCTGCCTATCTTACAGCATGGGACTCTGCTGGGCAGTAGGAGGGAGGGAGGGAGCCACAGCACAAGCAGTGGTTTGATGGTGGGAGAGGGTCATGTCAGGGAAAGGCTAAAGGGGTTGCTGGTGTGGCTGATCTGGAGGAGCTGCTGCCTCCTCTCCAGCTGCAACTGGATCTCCAGATGCTTCTTTCTAGGGGCTCAGGAAGGGACTCTCCTGCTATGAGTTCTGCCATGCTGCTGGGGCCAGCAAGAACCATCTTCACAGGTGGTTGTTTGGTCTCCATGGGTTTTATTTTGTTGTTTTGAGTCTCCAAGGTCCTCAGGGCTCTCCTAAAGGTGATTTCTCCTTTGTCGTGCTGACAGTAGGGCAGGTGGAGGCTGCAGAGCTACAGGAACTACCTGTATCTGGGGGCTTCCCCTACTGAGGATGGCCAGAGCTCCTCACAGGGCATCTCCAGAGGCACAGGAGCCTCCAGGAGCCCATGGTGCAGGTGGTTCACCAGCCAATGCTTTCTTCCTTAACCCAAGGAGTTCCCCACCTTTCCCTTGGGAGCAGGTCACTGCCCAAAATTTCACATCACACTTGTTTTATCTGCTTAAAAAAAGAACGAATCCTATCAGGGCCAAGAGGGAAACCTGGGCCTCCCAAGTACCTCATCATCATGCTCCCCAGTGGGAGAGCTTTCCTCAGCAGGGCTTGGGAACTAATAAGGAGCCAAAGGGAGCTGCAACCCAAGAGACTCAGACATAGCTCCCTCCTTTCTTATCTCCCAAACTACATCACGACCTCCACAGCAAGTGTGCAGCCTTCAGAAAATAAAATTAATATTTTTTTTTTTAAATTAAATTAAATAAATAAAGGAAAAGAAAAAAAAAAAAGAAAAGAAACTCAGATGTGTGGCTTGGAAGCTGTGCTCCAGCAGGCAGGGGTTAAACCCTGCCCTCTCAGCCAGGGTCTGGGCTCCTGGAAGTGGAGCAGCCACCTAAGGCCGGGGCTGCCCGGGAAGCCCTCGCCAGCCCGGAGAACAGCGGGAGCCCCGATCAGGACCGCTAATGAAGGCTGCTGGCAGCGGGAGCGCTCCCCGGGGCAGGAGGAGGGGAGAGGGGAGGAGAGGGGAAGAGAGGAGAGGGCTCCCCAGGCTGCTGCCCAGGCAAGGATGGCAGCGGTGGCCGCAGACAGCCCCTCTGCCCCGGCGGGCACCTTCACACAATGATTTCTCTGTTGCTGTCCCCCCCTTTTCCTCCCCAGCCTCAACTTTTTTTCTTCCCCCTCTCTCGTGAGCGTATGAGCCCAAAGCACTTTAGCAACCGAACATGCCCCCCACCACTTCTCCGCAGTGGCCCAGTGCAAACCGCAGCTGTCCCCACCGGGCTGCCACAAGCAATTAAGCCAGGGCAGGCAGAGCGAGGCAAATCAGATTAAATAGCTCAGGGGGTCGCTAGCACTGCAAGGAGATTAGAGAAAAAACAACCTCAGCTCCCCCGCAGAAGTCTTCTCAGGCCCGTGTCAGGGCAAGGAGCCATCTCCATCCCAAACGCAATCCCCCTCCTCAAGGCAGTACCGGGATGGGTCTAATCCTGACGCACTCCATCAGCCCCACGGGGAGCAATAGGAGTCCAAGGCTTAGGCACCGGTTCAGCAACCAGTCGTTAGTGCCCTGACTTAATGAGTGTAATTAGCATCACTCCCCACGAACAGCTTTACCGGAGGGTGTGAGGGGGATTTCCCGCAGAAGAGATGGGGGCACAAGCCAAGGGCATTTGGGCGTGATGGGACCTGCTGGTGGGTCACAGCGGTGGGGACCAAAGCAGACCCTGACAGGGCAGGCAGCACCCGTGCCCGCTGCCCCCCTGGCACCATCCCAGTCCCCAGCTGTCCTGTAGCCAGGAGGGGAGCTGACAGCAATGGGCTAAGGAGACAAGCAAGGAAAAGACCACGGTACCGGTACGTTCTCCTGGTTGGGTGGCTCGTAGGTGTTGTGCCAGCAAAAGTCCTTCTGGTACATACTCTTGTACATGTCCAGTGCTGCAGGCAGCTAAAAGTGAGAGAAGGCAAACACAAGGAAACACTAAGCCTCAGAGGAAGCCTTCAAAAGCAGTGATACAAACCCCAAATGCTCCCTCATAGCTCAGAAGGGGATGAGCTGCTCTTCTGGGCACAGTCTCTGTCCCGTGGGCCACTTGAGGCAACAGAGGCAACTCCTTGCTCAGTTAAGCCCCAAGCAGGGTGATCAGGAAGGTCCTATCCTCTTTTGGCAATGGTTTCTGGGGCTCTTCTTGTCCCAGGCAGTTCCTTGCAACAGACACCCTCCTTCTGCCTCTCTCAAGCTTCCTCTGCCTGGATGGCCCCAGGCAGAGCATTAATATAAAGCTGCTGAAATACTTTGATCAGCTGCTAGGTCCAGTGTCTCTCAAGTCAAATCAGCACATGCTTCCATCTTCTATCTCAGTAACATTTCCTATGTGCTTATCCCATATTTAAAGTGCTGGCTAATGTCAACACTCATTCTGCAAAGTGGCTGGAGAAACCATGGAGGAAAACTCTGCCAGGGGATATGAGGCCAGTGACACCTGCCCTCACCCTGAAAATCCCTGCAGTGCAAACTCTGGGAGAGGATTTTAGGGAGAAAACACTAGCTGTGTCTTCTCCCTCAGCATGCACCATGAGCACTGCTGGAGCCAGGAAAGCTGGTGAGATGAGCTTTCAGGCTGGTCCAAGAGCTGTTTTCATACTAAAGCATTAGATGTGATAACTTGTCAGTGCATGGTAAAGGCTGGGGGAGATGAGCTCTAATTGAAGGTGTTACTGTGATCTCCACTGCTACACACACATCCACCACACAGGTGTGGCTTGGCCAGCCAAGGCAGGGTCTGCATTCCCATTTCCCTGTGATTAAAAGGAATCCCTACTAATAATAATCCCCTACTAATAAATCCACTGGCACACAGCACCTTAGGGAGGGCTCCTTACGCCTTGCCTTGCCAGTCATCCACTTTTATATTCTGTGATTCTATGTTTTATATTTTATATTCTCAGTACTTTTTTTCCTAATATTTCACTCTTTCCCCCCTCTGGGCTTCCCAGATCAGTGTCTGCCTTTGGCCAGGACCCAGGATCCCATTGTCACCAGTTCCTATTATCTTCCCAGACCAGCAGACCCAGCAAACCCATTACTCAAACACCACTGAGGATGAGAGTCCTGTGCGTACTTCACCTTCCATCGCCTTGCATTCTTCATCAGGTCCATGGTGAACCAGGAACCTGCACCAGAAAAGTCACTCAGTTAAAAACCAGCAAACCAGATCCACTCCTCCATCCCACGATGGGGGACAGGGTACCTGGAGATCTGAAGCTGGCTACTGGCAGGAGGAAGGGGGTTCAGCTGGGGCCGCAGGACCCCTGGGCACCTCAAATTGGCAAGAGTGTGACTGACTTCATTCAAGTTCAGCAAAGCAAAACTTACCCAACCAGGATGTACGGAGATGGACACCTCAGGGGACGCAGCCTGTTGGAACCCAGAAGGGATGAGACGGAGGCATCCCACCACCAGCAGCCCCAGAGCCACCCAGAGGGTGAACAGGTGTGACCTCCTGGGACAGGGTATGTCTGGGATGGGATCCACCAATGCCTGTGTGGCCACGGGGTTTCCAGGGTCAAGGGAAAACTCTGTCCCATTGTGACACAACTGTAATTCAGAACCCTGGAGGCCTTGGAGGGGGGGAGGGGGAGCCTGAAGGGGTTGGGGGTTGTTTCTTGGAGGAGAAGGCACACAACAGTCCTACAGGGGAGCTGTTACCCATTCCTTCAGCTGCATCCAGCCATGCTGGGGACACGTGGCTGGGAGAAGGAAAAAGCCTTCCCTTTGTTAGCTCTTGAAGCACCTCCAGCTCCTGCTAAAGATGGGAGCAAAAGATGGAGAAACGGGGAGGAAAGGACATACTTTGTGAGTGTGTGGACAGGAAGAAAACTGCATCCTTACCTTCTGCATGGCAGGATGGGAACACCACAGAAGTAAGGCAGGCAGGGATCTCCACTTGGACTCAGAGGGTGGCTGAGTACACCTGAACTGTCCCATTCAGACGCTGCCACTCTCTTCCTCTAATGAGCTGCAACAGGAGACAACTGGGGATGCTCAGATTGAGTCCTCTGTCCCACAGACAGACAGGAACACCAGATCAGATCCACAAAGCAGTATTTACTCTTTAAAAAATGTCAGGCCTTGACCAGTTTTGGATGCATTTCATCAAAGGACTAATCTTGCCAAATTTCAAATGTCCACAAGGACAACATCTCCCTCTGAGCTGATCCTTCCTGACTTCCTGGCTCGTTTAGCCCAGCTCATGTGACCAGTGTAGGTACAGAGTTGGGGCTGAAACAAACTGATTTCTCAGAAAGCCTGTGTTTGGTGAGCTGAATCTCCTCCAGGACTCCAATTTCTGTAGCTACACAAGCCTGGCTATCGGTTCGGAAATGAGATTCTCTGCCACTACAGTGATGCAAATAGTAGTAAATGCTGGTGATGAGCCAGAAAGATGAGATCTCAGCTCCAGGATCCTCCACAGAGGAGAGCCAGTCACGGACCTGTGTTCACAGGCACCATTAGAATGAGCTGAATTCCAAGAGTTATTTCTCCTTGCACACTGTCAGGCACCAGCGTGCAACTGGAGCCCAAGGATGTTAATGCTCTGGCAAGGGTTGTGTGCTGCAAACAGCTCAGCACTGGCGTTAGAAAGGAAGAGAAGCCCTTTGTCCCCACTGCATTTTATGCAAATTAATATTAGAATAAATAGTACAACAAGGAAAGAAGTTATTTCCAGAAATGTGAAACTCTCATGTTCTCCTGTGCTTATATTAAAGGGATTACACTCCATTTCCTTCTTAATACAGCTAATGCTCTATGGGAAGCCCTCAGGCCAGGGATTAAAGCACTTATTCAATTAATTAGGAACAAACTTCTGCCTTAAAGTCAAACACATAAATATCAGTAAGCCCTCAGAGTGTCTTCCTTCCAGGGCAGATAAAATGGATCCTATTTCTTGCGTAAATGACACCAAGTCTGCACTCTAGAATTAATAGGAGTAACATAACTTAAGAAGAATCACTTTAAAATATCACAGTTCTGTAATGCAATATGGTAAAGGAGGGACAGTCCCATCATCTTGAACTCAGCATTGGAACCCCCATCAGTTACAGGGGGAGCAGAATAAGGTCCTACAAGGCTAATATAAATGAGATAAAATTTTAGGATGCAACACTGGTAACCAGCTCCACGCTTCAGGCACAGCAGTGTTTGGATGTATTTGAAGTTAGGGGTGAAATCCTGGCCCTGCTAAACACAAAAAAAGAAAATGCTTATTCAGTAGGATCCGAATTTCACCTAAGGTGTCTGATTCATTACTGAGATAGAAGACAATTTCCAAAACCTGGCTCCAAATCCTAATCTTCCTTGATGATAGCTTGATCCTTCCGTCTTCTCGCAGGCACAGCTCACATGAAATTAAAAGGCATTTTGCCAGAACAGTTTATGCAGGAACAGCCCACTATTACTGTTCAGTTTCCCATTTCTTCTTCCCAAATATCAAAAGATGGGTCTGATAATTGCCAACATAATTCCAATTAGAAGTGGATAGGAACCAAAATCCCAGTTCTCATCTTCCTCTGCCTCCAAGAGAGTTTATCTGCCTCCTCATTGCTAATGCAGATGTGGAGGAAAAGTAAACCAGCCACATGCCTTTTTCAAAAATGTTTTTACATATATATGGACTTTTTAAAATTTCCCTTACAGTAGCTAGTGGGCTGCAGTGCCATCATCTCTCCTGTGATACCAATTCCCTGCAATGGTCCTGGTTTTCTCTCAAGTCTCCTGATACATGGAGACACAGCTGAAGGATGCTCGTGCACGTCAGATCCATCCCCTGGCATCCCCACAACACTCAGCACAGGCTGTTCATGGGAGAAATCCAGCTGCAGTGACTGGAAATACTGTGTTGGCTTCACATAAGCTGGAATTGCCCCTTCCCTGCACCATTAACCTCTGCAGGATAATTCAAACTCTGCTACTCAGAGCAGCACCAGGCACTTCAGTGTCACCTTGAATCTCAGCCATGGGGTTGTTTTGTCAGAAGTTTTTTCACCAGGCAGATTTTGCTGTGCCTTTTCCTGTCCACCTTCCCCCACTTAAATATTTTCTGTATGTTTTGCTAAAGCTTACCTGCCCTGGGAGCATTTCACTGAGGAGAGCTCACTCTACCCTGCATGGCTGCTCCCCATGTAGCTGTCTGTACATCCCTGAAACAGAAGATATAATGCTGAAGACCAACATTGGGCTGTAAACACCTGCAGGAAAAAATTGTTCTTAAATAATTGATTTATTTTCACTCCAGGAAGGCTATGGCTGAGATTCCCAGAGTCAAAGCCTAAACCACTCACCTGAATGGAAGTGCCCCTGTTTCTCAAGGCAATGATAACCCCAAACATCCAGGGAGGTTTTCAGAGGGTCCTGGTGATTCTGACCCTTCCACATCATGCCTAGAAGCAAATTACAACAAGACAGCCAGGACCAGATTGTCAAAGGCAGACAATGATGTGGGTTAGTAGTACTTTGGGATAATCTGACAATGGGCCCCAAGGTCTGATAGCTGAGCTCTGGTCCTTTACAATCAGATTGGAGGAGTTTAAGTTATAGTCAAGGACCTTAATTATAATGTAAAATGATGAGATTTCTGTACCTGACCTCTGCAGCCCCTTCCTGACATCCTGCTGGTGCTTAGAAGTATCTATGTACCTCTGGAAATTCCATCTCATAGCCTCAATAAGACTGTAGGAGCACACAGGACATGATACAGAGATGAATTTCACCTCAGTTTGTCCCTAACTTACCATATTTGCCATCTTTTCCCATCTGTGAAATGTAAAGGTGCAGTCTAAGCCTGCATAGCTCCTGTGCAAGGCGCTGCACTGGATACTGGCAGGGTTCAGGGGAACCATCTCATCTATTAACAACTCAGTGCACAAACACATGGCCAAGGAGGACATACCTCCCTGTCAACCCAGCCCTTGAAAAGTGCTCTTTGGGCTAGGAATAAGATTCATTGCCCCCATGAGGATGTTGAAAGAGGGAAGTGATCAGTAAGCAGGACCCCCAACGCGTGGAGGAGGTCGGGTATAATCTGTGCATCTCCATTCAGGTTATCACCATGAGGAGACAAAGCACAGAGGGGAGACACTTCTTCAAGGGACAAGTGTTGACAGCCCGTTCTGTCAGCATGAGGTCAGTCACCCATTTGGGTCTAAAAACATGAACTTTGGTGGCAGCGCAGCAGTCCAGCATGGGCACGTTTCCTCTGGAGTTATTTATTTCATCCTTCTCTCCTGTTTTCTTGATAAATTGGTGAGGCCATTTAGGGCATCATGTGAGCAGAAACAAGCAGCATCCTTCAGCCTAAATCTGAGCCCCCTGTAGCTCTCTTCCAGCCACCTAAATCACTCACAGGACTGAGCCCTCAAAGTCAAACTCCTTGTTGCACAGACACTCCTCTGTGCAGAAGACAAGGGCATCTGGTGAACTCAGTGGTGGTGCTCCAAATCTTTGGGCAGTTCTGCTGTAACCTGCCAAAACAATCAGCTGTTTGTTCGTGATTATCCCCCAAAAAGCATCCATCAGCAGAGGATGGGTGAAATCTCATCACTGTCTGTATAATGTGTCCTGTGATATAAATCATTGCATATTTATGCACCTGTGTAAGGCAAATGCATATCTGTATTGTTGGAGAACCTAAATCTGCTCCCTAATGCCCGTTGTTTAAACAGCCCTTTAACCACATCACTTTTCTCCTCGTTAGGTTAAGTCCCTGGAGGTGAAAAAGTCCTTCCCAAAATGGTTTTCACTCACTCACTCAGTTCAAAGTAAACATGCCTCTGGGACCATTATGTGTATCAGGTATCCCAGGCTTTGTTAAGAGCTTGCCTGTTAGGTAAATTCTGCTTCTCCTTCTCCTTGGAAGGAGAAGGTTAAAAATTAGAGATAGGCTCATACAAGTAATGCAGAGGAGCTTTACAGACAAATAGGAGTAAGAGATGAAATTCAGAGCAGTGCACACCAGTGACCCAAATCTCGGGGAGGCTCTTGATCTGATGTAACCCTGGTTGCAATATGACACTGGTTTGACTTACGCCTGTCACTTGTAATCTCATTCATCACACACCTCATGGTGGCCAAGAGCCAACATTTTCACCAGCAGTCAGCAGAGCCAGTGGATAGAGCTGAGAGCCCAGAATGACAAGCATGAGCCTTTGCTAACAATGCACAAAGAGGAAATGTGCACCTATGGCACATCACAGAAAATCCTCGAGCCATATGCCCACATGTCACAGGTATCAGCCAGCTGGGCTTTCCTTGAGTCTCACCTCACATTACAACCGCATCTACTTCTCAAAGGAAAGTTTGGCAGGACAATGACTGCTCTGAATGAGCTCAACCAGGCCTCAAACACAACTGCTCCAAGGTTTGGACTGCATATGCAACTGGGAGATTCTCTCACTGCAGCCATTAGCTGTTCAGCTGATCTGAACTTGTCGGGGAGAATAAAGCAACCACCTGCTCCCAGTGACAAGAAAAGTAAAGTGAGATCAAACGCAAGCAGGAGGAGAGAATTTAAAC